CCTCAACATTAGTTTGTCATTCTGGTCAGAATGAACTTTTCTCCAAACTGAGGTAAATCACAGTTATCTACAACAGATAGGACATTATTTTCATGTTCGTGTGTTCATAACCTTTCCATTGAACTCAGCAGATTTGAATTATTCCTTTAAGGTTGTTCAAACTAGAAATAAGTGTAAAGCTCAACTGTACGCAGTGATACAACAGTATCAGTGTGAGTTAGTACAAGCTAACACATTTGTTACAGATTTTTATGTACGGTAATTCCCAATCAACTTTTCTTAATTGCAGTCAGTTAAATCAAACAGATGCTGCAAAATAAAGTTAATATGACCGACTATAATCAAGTGTCAAAACAAAACTCGGATCTGAGGATGTGAGAAGGGAAGTCTGAGATTGTCATATGTTCCCATACAGTGGTGAAATTAGTTCTCTGCATTTAACCCATCACATCTGGGTATGCCCAGGTGGAGCAGTGGGCAGCTATGTAGGTGCCCGGGGAGCAACTGGGGATTGGGTGTCTTGCTCAGCCATGACATGTGGGAATGGCTGTGAGTCGAACCGCGACTTTCTGGTCCCAAGTCGGCTGCCATACCTACCCTATCTCGGCCCCCGCAGTGATGCAGTTAATTTAAAATGAAGCACATGTCAACATGTCATTCTACATAGGTGTCTTTACAACACAGAAGAAATTTCTAAAAACCTAGGTCACACATCATGACTCATCACTTTTCAAACCTGAATCATCTTCTGTATAACGTTATCAGTCTCTCAGTGGTGAAGTCTTTGAATTACTTCACTTTATTGAGGATATTTCTTCAAATATTTGACTTTAGAGTAGTTAGTCTGAGTTTATGGTCGACTTATTACCTGGAAGGTATTCAGGCCCTGCCGCTGCACAACAAACCCAAATCATTAGCCCTCCACCTCTGTGCCTCACAGTTCAGGTGTATTCTGTGTTTACTGGGGTGGATGTTATCCTTCAAGTCCAAAATAGTAATCCTGATTCCTTCTGATCTTTTTTCTAGTTTTACTCACTTTAGCTTTTCATTTAACATAGTTTTGCCCTGGAAAGTCTGTTTTATGATCACAGTAAATGTTGCTCGTCCTTGACGTCGTGTTAACTCACAACTGAATGCTCTAAACTGATCAAACCTCACTAGTTATTAATGGTGAATATTTAATTACTGATTGTTTGATTAGTGTCACCAGACTGCTTTAGCTTCTGATATTTATGGCAGAAATAAGGGTGCACTTTTTTCACAGATGCTGCTTCAGATTTTTATTGTGTTTTCTTATAAATAAAAATAGACATGACAATAGATTGGGCGATGTAGTTCACGTGATGGTGTTTTTAATTTCATTCTGAAAGCTGATGAAGATCAGAGGACTGTATGTGCGCTGAAATGCAAAACCTGAGCGAGGTAGAATTGACTTTGTTTATTCTGCTGTAAACATCTGAGTGTACAGAACATAAAAAAACCAAAGTCAACAAGCGCAGAGGAAATGACTGCAGATAATAAACTTAATTTTGAGTGCGGTTTTTTTTGTATATTTTTGTTTGCAGAGGACAAACTCTGCATATTGTTTGCTCTATTTCCCTGTGATGAAGCATTAAGATTAAATCTATGTTCTCCATGAAACAAATGTTTCTGTGGGTGAGGTGTGCAGTGTGTGTAACATGAACCCAGCTGCTCCTCTAAAGCTCCTGTTCCAAAAAAAAAGTCCCAGTGATTTTTACTGTGACTGTGTAATAACCTTTCCACCGCTTCCCCTTTGACACAACTGTTTGCCCACTGTTCTTGTGTTATCCCTGGACATCTGGAAATGTTTTGCTGTTTTTCTTTTTTTCGCCCCTTTGCCTCTATAATCACATCCACAGGAAAAGCACCTACTGTACAACAAAGTCCATGCTTAATAATCCAGGTATACAATCCAGCATTTTTCAGTCAGGTCACCTACAGTCACCTACTGTACATTACAAAACTGAGGATTGTGAGTAAAAACTTCCTAAATACATCTTTTTTTTACATCTATAGATGCTGTTTCTCAAAAATATTAAGCTCTTACTAACCCATTTTATGGCTTAAAGCAGCTTTAAGAGTGTTTGAATGTATTGTCGTTCTTGCTTTGGCTGGACTTTGACCCCATAACACTTAGTTGAGCATCTGAGCAAGACTTTAAGGCGGTACAGTACGAGTGCATGCTGGTGCCACCGAGCAGCAAGTCCCAACAATACATCAAAGTTTAATACAAAATAATAGCACCGCTGACAGTTCTCATAAAATTACCCTCTTCAAGAGCAGATTTCTCCCTCAGATTATCGCTCTGATCTGGGCTCCATGCCTTCCTCGCACTCACGACATCCTCACCTGTTCCGCTCAGGCTGCGTATTTACACCTGTGTACATGCATGCATGGGTGTGCATGTCTGAGCCAGCTGCTGTTGTTTTTATCTTACGAGACTCCTGGTGGAGGCCGACAGGGTGTTTCCATTGCAGGGAAAAGTGAAGCGTTTGATATTGGGTAGGAGACTGTGACAGACATGCTTTGAGAATGAGGACTGTTTACATGCCGGTCTTGAGATGTCCACAGAGGGAGGAAGAGTGTTCGGCGTCAGGATGAATTATGGATACCACATGTCTAAAGCTGGAGCCCACTCTTCAGGCCAGAGTGCTTTTCGAGAATGGGTAATTGAAGTGCACTGCTAAAGGATGCTAATATTACACCGGGAAGGCCTCGGCAGCTCATTTAGTGTACAGAATGAATATTTGAAGTAGGTGAATTGCCTGTTGCGCTGGAGTTCTTGCTAATAATCATCCGCACCATAAATACAATCACACATGCATCTTTCCACACCCTGCTTCGGCCTATATCAAGTGCAAACACACACACATGCTCTCCTTGTATCCATTCGCTCTCAGACATACACACACAGATGCCTGAGAGAGAGAAAGCCCACTGAACGGGAAAAAGCATTTGTCTCAAGATGAAAGGCTTCACACCCACTGCCTACATGCAGAGTCTCTTCCAACACCTTCCCGCGACAACGCATACTGTAGCAGAGGCTTGTGCTACGCAGACACACTCCAGCTAGCATCCCTCCCCACACCCATCAACGCTGCAACACAGTTGCATCCCTGCCTCTCGTTTGCTCCGTTTACCCCTCTTCGTCTCCATTGTGATGCTACAGTAGCAGGCAGGGAACAGAAAGGTTGCAGAATAAGCGGCATGACTTGACTGTTGAGGGGGATAAGCTTCCATAAACGCCCGAGGCACAGCAGCCTCATTTTCCCCATCGTTTGTGCAGCACGGTGGGTTTTCAGGCATGGAACATGCTTAGCCACACGCAGGGCGTGAAAAGCGACACTGACTATGATGCTAGATAATTGCTTCCCATTTACTCGGGTGCTGGAAGCATCAGACAAAAATAGCATGTCGCTGTAACAAATGTGCCGGGGAGCATGGAAGATATGAGTGCTGTGGCCGTAGATCGATATACAAGAGTGGACAGCAATTTGCAACCGTGAACTCTACACAGCATCTCTCAGACACCGACTGCACAACACCTAGCAACATACTCTATGGTAAATCAGATCACATCAGTAACCAGCCTTAGATTATCTATGCAGCCATTTCAGGGTGAAATTAAATACACAAACGATGGGGAAAATGAGGCTGCTGTGCCTCGGGCGTTT